AGTAATTGCGAATTTTGTTGAACATTATATCTCTTCCAAAATAAGCTTCCAGTGGATGATTATGTGCCAAGATCAGGATTGGATCTGTCTTGCCTTCCTTTAAAACTTTTATTAGCTTTTTTAACTTCTTGTCTTCTTTGTATAGGATCCCATTTTTGACTTGGAAATGCCAACTTTAAATGTTTTTTTTTGTATTTTATCAAAGTAAGATAGGTATTGACGATGTTGTATATAACTTTTTAGTGCTAAGTACTGTTGTTGATCCATTTTTTTTAATTTAATACCAGGATACTGACGACCTGAATTGGATTTAATTTAACGTCAGGTTTGGATTCTTCAGCAGTTAATTAAGTGTGAGTTGATCTTTTATTTCTTTGTTATGTTAGTTGTTTTCTATGCTTCCTTCTAATTAATACCTTTTTTATTCTTTTGTTTTGATAATCTGTTTCATGCTTGTCTTGTGATTCCTAGTTAAGCTTTCTTTTTGTCTTAGCATTTGTCATTTATTATCTGTGTTTTCTTTCTTCGCTTGACTAATTCACGTTTGTCTTTTTCAATTCTGATTCTAGGTTTCAGTCAGTTTTGTTGGTAAGCATTTCTTTGCTTTAATGAAATATTTTTGCTTTGTTGGCCCCAATACCAATAGTTTCTATGATGTTAGATTTTTCAGATATACTGCTTATTTTCAGTCATGTGATTTCACAGCTACATGGAATCTCAAAATCTTAATTAACTTCTAAATGGTCAACTTCTTGAATAGGGCCTCACAACTCGCTCTATTCTATCCTGACCAACCTCACTCTATTTTCATGTCTGTGATAAGATGAGTTTTTTTTTTTTTTAATATATATATATATTTTGCTTTTTAATTTTAACCTATTAATTTACTAATTCTTTATTCATATTGATATAATAGTTCCAATCCATAGTAGCATCGTCATTCGAGAGTAGCAGCCATTCGGGGTTCTCAGGGTCGATCCTGGTGCTATAGTACATTTCTTTCTCAATATTGGTATTCTACCAATATTCGTTATGACCCAGGTAAAAATTATGGACATAACCCAGACTATAGATCTCATTATTACTATCAAATTCTAACTCGTCATCAGTCCACTCTAGTGAATCAATTAGATATTCATTGTCGATGTTCATTACATTGGCTTCATCATTACTATTATCAGACAAATGATACCTTATTTGTGTCATCCATGTTCTTTCTCCATAGAATTCTTTATTTGGCTGCTGCACTAACTCTCTGCATTGTCTTTCATTTTCTAGATATCGATCCTCATCCTATCTATTATCCTATATATTGTCCCATATTTCTTCTATATCTGCTCATAAAGGCTTTTCTTCTTCTACAATCTCTTTATTGAAATAATTTTCGGCTATTGCGTGGAATATTTTGATTTTCTCTGTCGAATCATCGGTCTTACCCTCTGGATTTTACATCTGTTTCAAACCTGTATCCTTTTTATTTTGCAGTAGCTTCTCGATCATTCGGGATAATAAATCTGCATTATTATGAATTCTACCAGCCCGGTGTATAATAGTAAAATTGTAAGGCTGGAGCTCAGGATCCATTGAGCTTGACATCCTTTTAATACAGTGTTTAGTAGCTATTTTAAAGCGCTATGGTCAGTAACTATTATGAAGTACTTATATCTCAGGTAAGAATAAAAGTATTTTACTACCCAAACTGCCACATAACACTCTAGTTCAGTTGCTGAATAATTTCTTTTAGCTTTTGTTAGGCTTTTGCTAGCATATGCGACTGTATATTCCTTTTTATTTCTATCTTTCTGAGCCAACACAGTACCAAGGCCAATTCTGGAAGCATTAGTATGAAGGTAAAAGGGTTTTTGAAGTCTGGGTACCTTAAAACTAGTGCTGAAATTAAGTAGCCTTTTAAATTTTGAAATACTTGTTCTTGTAAGGGTCTCCATTCATAACTAACACCCTTCTCTAATAACTTGTATAGGGGTTTGGCTGTAGTCGCAAAGCCTTAGATAAATCTATAATAGTAAGAGGTAAGGCTGATAAACTCTCGCAGTTGCCTTAAATTTGTTGGAGCAGGAAATTCCTTAATTTTTATTACTTTTTCATCATCAGGGCGAATGCTGTCTCTTTCTACAACATGGCCAAGGAATTGTATGTTTGCTTTAAACAATTGGCATTTTTCTGAATTTATCTTGAGCCCTGCTAACTAAATTTTTGTAAATACTTTTTCTAGGTGATCGAGGTATTTTAGATAAGTATTAGAGAATACATTTATGTCATCTAAATATACTGCCA